GGTCAAAATATCCCATTTTGATCTTGACTTTATCTTCAAAAAAGGTATCGTAAACAGATATTCGACTTAGAAATATCTAACTAAAGCGCTTTTTTCCCCCGTCTAATTCTGTCCACGTGCCACTGAATTAGACGGGGCCAAATCAACCCGGAAAATATTTTCGCGACGTGCAGCCCCCGTTTTCGCGTTCAACCCCCAGATTTCATTGTTGTATCAAAGAAGAAGATGCAAACTATTGATTATTGATGCTTGGTTTGACAAAAATAGATTTAGAGAAAATTTAACAATAAATTTAGTTAACCCTTAGTCCCGGATTGCCCCACCTGGCCCCGGCTACCTAGGTGGGGCCAGGTGGGGTTGGTGTTTACAGGGACATTGGACAGTGACTTTTAATATTGCCATTACCTGAATTTGCAGATTTTTGCGAAAATTAAATTTTTTTATGCTAATAAATAGTAATTTCTCAACCAAACTCAGGCTTTTTTAAGTTATGGTTTTTACTTTATTGTTATAATAGTTTGGGGGCACGCCGCATGTGCTGACTTCCCGCAAAATAATTTATTAAGTTATCGAACATATCGCATGAGATAGCACACTTACTGTATATGTTTATACAAAAACCCAGCGGTAGCCAATAATTACTATCTAAGGGGTAACAAATGGCCTGGATGGTCTTGCACGGAGTCGACTCAGTGCAATCCACTCGCATTTCGCGAAACTTGCTGGTGATTTCACTTTGAGCTGGGCGACCGAAGACCGTGAGCCGTTGCTGTGCTGTTGCTTCGATGTGTGTTTGTGTTCGACCATCGATTTCGATAGTAACTGTTGGTGGGGCGGAGGCTTGTACCTCTGCTGATAGCCGTGGATTGACAGGTCGGACTCGTCAAAAGAACTTCTGTTCGCACTTAAGAAGAAATATGGTGGGGGGGGCGAAGGGGAGGAGATGCATTTATAAGCTGTATTTCTTTTGCGCGCTACCGCATTTGGGTATGGGAAAATTAGAGGGCAGTTAATGCAAACGCAGGGGTTTAGGTCATTCTGCACGATGTCATTATCGCCAAGAGGTTAAGGCTC